AGACCCGCCAGACCCGCGCCGACCCGGGGCCGCGATCCGCGCCCGCTCCAAACTTTTTTATTCGTCTTTTAATTGGCTGTTATTCCTCCGAATGAATGATCGTTCTTCTTCCCTAAAAGCAAAGGCAAACTCCTGTGGTTCGGAAGAGGTCTCCACGGTGCTTTGGGGTTTCTCTGGAGATTTTTTTCACTTCACAGCAACGATCTTTTAAAAGGCACCTTTTAGCTTCTTTTGCCACATTTCATTTCCTTATTTTTCTTCCTTCCTGTTTTCTTGTCTCTCTTTTTTTTTTTGAAACCCCAAATTGAAGGGAATTATAAAAATAAGAGTGAAACGCTTGCGGCTTTTTTTTTTAATCTCTCTCCTTTCAAACTCTGCGAACACCACCTCAAAATAATATGCAAGTGTGTAAGAGGGGGAAGAAAGCCAACAGCACAAACACCCGCTCGGAACAGCTCTAACAACACGCTCTGTGTAGGTGACTTCTTTGACCAAATTTAGCAGCAGCTAATCATTAACATTCTGATACATATTCACAGCCGGCCGCGGAGGGGCCGCGGAGCACCCCGGGAGATGTAGTCCACCCTAGGCGACCGTGGCTGAGGAGCTCGCCAGATTGACTACAACCACCGGCCAGCCACGCGACCACTCCCGGACGCTCTCCAAGCGCCCCGCCCTCCCCAGGCACGGTAGGCGTTTGCAGCAACCAATCAGAGATGGGTGAACATTAATCGCCGTTCTGTGTTACTGCCCATCATTTCACTGCTGACAAATGGTAAGCCAGGGGGGAGGAGCCGAGCGGGCTGGAACCCACGTGGGGGCCGCGAGTCGCGGGTGGCTCCGACCAATGAAGGAAAAGGGATGGGTTGGCGGGGGCGGGGCGGAGACGGCCCGCCCAAGGCGGAGCTTCGCCTGGGCTGACGTTACTTAGCGCGAGCGTTCGAACCGGGGAAACATTTGTTCAGCTGTCAATCAAAGTAACGTGGGCCTCGGAGAAGCGGTGGCTGCAGTTGCTGCTACCCTTGCCGCCTCTTCAGAACTAGATGTCGGTGGCGGTGGTGGCGGCAAAATAAAGAGGGTGGAGGGGCGATGAAGCTGGGGTCTGATCCGAAGGTCTCGTCCTCCCTTCTGCCTCTCCCAACTCAGATGCCCTCCCCCTGCGCTGGCTACGCCGGGAAGGGGACTAATTGAAGTCCAGTGTCCTCTTCCAGAGGCGACTTCGGCCCCATGTAACGCACCGACACTCCTGTGGAGACGAGGGAGGGCGGGCCGCGCCGATCCCAACCCACAGGCGCACAGCAATTGTACGCGCTGCTGGAGCCGGCCTCGTTTTCCGAGAGAAAGCGCACTACGGCCCTGTGCTGGGTGAGAGTGGTGGGCCGAGGCCCCCACCCCGGGTTCGGGAGGAGGGCGCCCGAACCTGCCTCGGGTCGTTCCGGCGCGGTCGTGGCGCGGGGACCAACCGGGGCCCATGTTCCGCCTCGGGGACGAGTGCCCTGTGCACTCACAGTCTCTCCCCCAAGTCGGCAGGAAGATCGCCCCTCTTTCCCCGACTATGGAGGATCAGTCAAGTCGGTCCCAGCTTGAGAACTGGCAGGGACCTCACAGGCCCGAGACAGGAAGCGGGGAACGGCTTCGAGCCCCGCCCGTCTAGGCCCCCTGCAGGGGGCAGCCTCCCAGTGTAAGGGACTCTGGGGGGCCTTCAGCCTTCCCTAAGGACCGTCTAACCTTCAGGAATTCGAAAAAAGTCGAGAAACTAGCTAATGTGACGGTTTGGAGGTTCATTTCTGAGCACCCTGTGCCTACTCTGACTTGAGATACTTGGCCGAGGTGGTGCTGTTCAGAAAAAAATGGAAAACCAGTTATTTTTTAATGCTATCCTTTTCCTCAGTGTCAGAGAAATGAATGATTTAGTGTTCAACAGGTACACTCTGGGCTCCTTGGTGCTGGCTATTGAGGAGGACCCCGTGCGAAGGAAGATTGTGAGAGTCTTCTTCTGTCTTCAGTTTCTCCCTGGAAACTCAGAACTGACATCCACTGAGCATTTCGATCCAGGAGATACTTTCTCCTTCATCTGCAAGTTAAGAGGCTTGAGGAGTCCCTTGGCAGTTTTCCAAACCTCCAGTGTCCCACACCTTGGTATATGTGCTTGCTGAAATGTGGCCATTCCCAAATGAGATGTCTGTAAGTACACGTGATGTTGAAGAATTAGTAAGAGGAAAAGTGAAGTAGCTCAGTAACTTAGGATTCCATGCAAGTGTTACCTTTTTGACTTACCAGTTCAAAGAAATACATTTTAAATTCATTTTGCCTCTTTTCTTGTTACTCTTTTAACCTGGCTACTAGAAAATTAAAATTGCTCTGTTTGCTCAGGAATTTCTATGGGACAGCACTCTTCTAAGATATCCCCAAGACCCAAAAATTAGAATTGAGTGAGACTCTAGGATAGTGGGTTTTCTAAGAACACCAACAATCATGTTTTGTTCTGAGGTTGGTTATTCGCTCCCTGGAAATTTTCAACTCTGTTAAATCACCATAATGTCTCTGTAGGAAGTTCCATGTTCTCTATTTTAGCGGAATGTCAGCAAGTTCTGTGAGAATATGGACTTTAGTTGTATCCAAGGCTGCACTCCAAATGCCCAGAATGATGACTGATGTGTAGCATAGTTGGTGCTTAGTAAATATTGGTTAATAGCATTAACGAATAAATGCCACATTGCATCAATATAAAAAGCGGCTGCATCATTGGGGCCATATTTAGTGAAGTTCTGTGCAGTAATTCCCAGGACAGGACACAAGAATTCTAACTATAGAACCTCAAGAGCTGTGGAAAAGGGTCAGTGGGCAAAGATACTTTGCTGTATTAGGATCAGATAACTTAGAGTAGGGTCCTTTCTCCTAATCTCTCTTGAAAGCTTGTGTCAACAGAAAGGGGACTAAAGAAATCAGGGTATTTCTTCATTTTATTTTTAAGTACAGTTTTAAATCATATTCTTTGGATATAGTTTCATTTTGGCCATGTGGCAGATCTACGTAATTCACAGTAGCATCCCAGAAAGATGCCCAGTGAGGCAAGACTGATCCACTTTTTGCCCTGATCCAGGAAATGAGTGAATCTCATCGCTGCTTTTGTGTCTTCAACTCTCTGCTTTTGCTTCTCTCATTATACTTCTTACAAACCATTGTGAAATGATTTGGAGTCTTGTCTTATTCCTGCCACAGACCTGGGCAGTAGAGGATTCAAAGTTTTCACACAGAAAGGGCTTGGCAGTCAGTGTTCAGGTTGAAGGATAAGCCTGGGCAGGGCTGGAGGTCCACTCTGAAATGACACACAGCAAGCGAGCACACTTTTCTCTCAGTTTCGATGTTGTAAGTCATTTATTACTTCACCAAATATTTATTGAATGCCTAAAATGTTCCAAAAATATGGGAATTTAACAAACAAGCTATTATTCATTTCTTGCTTCTTAGCTCTAAACTTAGTTTGCCTGCTCATTTAAAATGGATCTGGGCCTTTGAAACATTTTCCAGTGGATACAAAAGTTTTGTGGAAAAAGAGTTCCAGAGAGACGTTGCAGGAGGAAAGGTTTGATTGTTGGCTCTGGTGTGCATGCTGGGCAGGTTCCTAAAGCACAAGCATCAAACAATGGCACCCAACAACTTCCTCCAGAACCTCCCTTACGTGCTTTTGGAGCAACCCTCACTGAAGATCTTGCTCCTGACATTCCAGAGGATGGATCTCCATCAGAGATTCCCTAGAGGGGAGTTATCTGGCAAGATCCAAAAGGCAGATTTTTAGAGAAGTTCAATCAGGGAGCTGTTATTGTACTCTCTTCAACAAAGTATAGATTAGCTCAGCCCTACAGTCCCCAGGCAGCTCTTCTGTGGGTACTCTGTCTCAGTCCTAGTAGTAACAGTAGTAGTTGTTCCTTATATTTCCTATCCCTATATGTTCTAGAGTCTTCTTTGCTTCTTACCAGTCTCTCTTTGCTCCCATACCTATAATTATAAGTCATAATTTCTTGTTTGGGACTTTACTTGTTAAAATTATGTTCTCTCCAGTTTGGAACCAGATTGATGCAGTCAAACCACATGAGCCAGTGGAGCTTACATTCTGATAGAGACAGGCTGCTAAGTGCTATGAAGGGAATCAAGTGTGGGGGACAGGAGTCAGTGGAATGATGAAACTGGTTCACAGGGAAGGTCGTGTAAGACTTCTCAGGGAAGATGACATTTAAGCAGAGAAAGACTCAGTCATGGAAAACAGCACTGAGAAACAAATTTCAAATGTTGCAAAGGTCTCATTTCAGGAAGTCTTAGTAACTGTGAGGATTTTTTTTCAAGACCAGTATGTTCCACAGGAAAGGTAATATGATTAAGCCA